ATGCTGTTTTTAATCACACAGAACAAATAACGAGTGAAATTTTACCAGCCGAAGTTCTTGAATAGGCCTAGGGTCAGGCCATATTTCAGCCGATGCTTCCACACAAGGCGGACACAAGTTAAACAACATCATGGTAAAACTGTTTATCTGATATCTATGACAAGGCGAATCGCCAAGAGGCTGGAAATTGTTGCTTTACAAGAAAGATTATGGACGAAACTTTAAAAATTACACATCTACATATTTTTGCATCATCCGATGTGCAGAAGCTGTTCACAAAGTTTATTAAATCGTTTAAACATGAAATTGGAGCAGGCTGATGGAGCAGGCTGCATTTCGCTGAAATTATGAATAAGCGTATGAATAGAGATTTCCCTTATACCTCATCTTCGTCGACCGTTGAAAAGCAATTAACATGATAGATTATGATACAGATTTTGGGGGTTTGGAAGAGCAATGAAATGGAGAAGAATATGTAGACCAGTTGCGGCGTTAAGATTCACCTGTTTGAAGATGCAGGTGAAATCAAGGGTTCGAATGGAGTTCAACAAGGAGAGGTCATATCGTTCAGGCTGTTTGTCGCAGTTCCGTATTGGCAGCTGGTATTGGGCAAAATGAGAACTGAAAGAGGATTATCAATCAGCAGCAAATGGCTCACTTATCTTCCACTTGCTGACGACATGGCGTTATTGAGCATTTAAGTACAAGAAGTTGAAGCGGTCCTCTGTGAGTGTGTGTTAAAGAGCAGGCAGCTAGGACCTGAGATGTAGAGGGCAAAGACAAAAATAACGAGGAACGAGTTCTCGCAACCAGCTACGGTTACCATAAAGGAAACATAAATAGAAAGTCACGAAATATGTATGTTTTAAACAGCTAATCGTCGTTGGGCACTCATTTGATACACGACTTTCTAAAAGTTGTCGTCAACGTGGAGTGCCTACAGAAGAATCGTCCACATTTTTTAAAACAGCAAATTATCATTTGTGATTAGAACCACATTGTATGACGATACAGTAATGCCATCAACTCTGAATGATTGCATGACTTGTGCATTAACAAAAAAATGAAGTGCTGTCAAAAGTACAGTATGGGCTGTGAAATGAAAGAGGCTAGGAATTTCCATTTGGGACTAACTGCAAGGTGAAGAAATAAGAAGACGAGTATCATCTTCAAAAGAAAAACTCGACAATGGGCAGGACCTATCGCATGATTGACGGATGACATATAGAGTCTAAATGTGATGAATTGGCATCCAGGGGCTGGAAGCATCCAATTGGAAGATTTCGGTTCAGATGGAATGATGAACTAAAAGCTTGAATATGGAACTTTATGGATGAACATGGACAACGAGACCAGGCAATGGTACTCTGCCTGATTAAGAAGAATAATAATTTACTTTTTGCCGTCATAATATATGCTCAAAAGCTGAATTTCTTGATGACCCTGCCAAACAGCAAATTCTCTTTCTCATGAGGTGCTGTAATTCGTTCCTCGTTTAACCTGGACCTCAAATAACGAACGATTCGTTCAGGACCAGATTTTACGGCGTATTGCATTGCCTCCTTGCCTGAGGGTATTTATGCAGACTACGGCTCCATGGTATTTTAGCACCTGCAGTGCCAGGATCACTCCGTTCACTCAGTCATCTCGCGCTCATCACGAACAATGACAAAGCTTTAACATCGATTGAATCTTGCCTGGAAATGCTGCTTGCCACTAACTACTCAGTAAAAAAGCCTTTTACTGTGAATGAGGTACTTTTTCCAACCGTTATGTCCGTGGATATTACTCTACGTCTGTCAAAATAATCAATGCACTATATATACAATGACAAATGTCGTCCTCCATTCGGAAGCTTTGCTACATGGCATATAAATCTCGTAATGTTGATATTCCACATTTTTCTAGGCCATATTATTCAAGTGATATGAAAAGCGGCATTCTGTACATTTTCCGAAGTTATCTGGATTGTCAGTCGATTTAATTTTCTTTAGACTGCATTGCGGAAACGGTGACCATGCTTTTTCTGATATTAACGTCGGTAGACTTCAATTGTTCTGTCCGGGATTCATTTTAGAATGGATTTTTGCCCTTCTTTTCTTCTGCTAGATGGATTTTCGCCAAACAAACGCTGAGCTCTGTCAACCCTCAATGCCACTGTTTCGTTAATTTGCCGTTATTGAAGTCATGGTTAGCGAAAATCCCTTAACCGTATTTCGCCATGGCATACAATTTTCCACATCTCTGGCTTGTTGCTCCATCTTAGAATGAAGAATACTCACGTCGGATTTGTGGAGAGTGCAATAAAATAGAAGAAACAAAAGATGCCATTTTATTTTGAAAATGGCTTGTTCTTTTTCGTTGGTCACTTCGTGACGTGTGGAAACCATCACAACCTCTAACGATCAAAGCTGAGCTACCGTTCGGTTTGGAAGACATTCATTCGATGCAGAATTTGCTCATGCTCACAGAAAGCACCGTGCAGTCCAGTCGGACATTTCGCATCAGTTGACCACTATTTAGTTTACAATTGTACAATTTCACTGCGTTTAGAGCTTGCCGCAGCGCCACCCGAAGACCTACCTCCTTTCTGTGCAGGTCCGTCGTCGTCGTTGGCCGTCCTCTCGTTGGTCAGCAGCGCCATGTCCACCGGTTTTCAGGGGGTAAGGTCAGACACTGGGATCGACTTGAGTTTATTCTCCACCACGTAAACACGAACAACAGAAGCGCAGCAGCGGCATTGTATGCGATCTCGCCGCCAATGAAGCAAATCAGCCGCTGCTCGGTGTCAAACGACTGCGTCATAGTCCTCTCCAGGCCTCGTAGGAGGCTGCGGCAACGACGACGAAAATTCAATATCTCGTTAGAAAGCGAGTCATTGGTCAAGGAGATTGATCACGTTGTGAAATCGTTAGAGCCGTCACTGACAGCTGAGGATCAATGCGAAAAGCCATGCGCAACATTCTCTGTCTTCGCTGCCCCAAAGTCGACGCAAAGTCTAGCGCTTGTCCGTCAGCTCATTTTT